AGATGCCGCCACCCACACGGCCAAACATCGCCACAGTGCTGCCGCCCAAGCCATAGCCCGCAGCGCAGTCGAAGAGGATCTCCCAATCATCGGGGTCTGGGTAGACCTGGCGGATGTGTTTTCTTTGAAGAAAGTGTCTTACCGTAGCGAAAAAAAAAGTTCGGTCTCCGCACCTTGCGGAAAACCGTCAACAGGGCCCAGAGCACAAGCACACCCAAGGAGCACAGGGCATAGCCCATCACGCTGCCACCGCGAAAGGCAGTGTTGAAGCCCAAGGTGTAGCCTCAAGGTGTAGCTCAAGCTTTTCACAAAGGTGTAGACCACAAACATCACCAAATGTTCAAAGTCGTGCAAACCGAAAAGTTGCACAATACTGCACAGATTTGACTCAAACACTATGCCAAACTGGTCACATTGTCACACTTCCAAGTAATTGTGAAGAGCTTAGGGCCTCCTTAGGGCAGGGGATATCTGATTGTGTGTGTCTGCGGCTTGGATCAACGTAAGCTGTACGCTATATTTACCAAAAGAGTCAAAAAATATATCCAAAGCCCGAACCATCTATACCAAGGCAAGTAACCATGATTGGCACACGCCAAGGTTGTGCGTGCATTCGAATAAGTTGCGATCCTGACGAGCGTTGATCAACGAACAAGTGAACTTTGTGTCGAATAAGCTTCGTTTGAATAAGTTCGCTTCGTCGCTTCGTTCAGGAGCTTTCGTTGAAGAATCTGAGCCCTTCGCCCGGCCTAATAGATCCTAATAGCTTTGCTGCTACCTCTTAAGCTGCGACCTACTTTCCTGCCTTGGTCTTCACGGCAGGGAAGAAGAAAAGAAAATGAAAACAAACAACGAAAAGAAGAAAAGAAGAAGGGAAGAGCCCTTTGGGGCCTTGTTAAAGGGGCGCTTCCCTTCTTGTTGTTCTTCTCATCTTCTTGTCTGAGTTTGCCGTTGTGTCCAAGGTTCATCATTCCCAGGAAGCCGCACAGCATGGAGGTGGCTGCACCAGTCAAGAAGGCACCAGCCGTGAGATAGCCCTGCATGGAGCTCTTTGTGCCCCAGGAAACCTCAGGGCTCCACTCTCCAAAACATGGTTCGGCAAACATAATGTCTTCTTGGGTAAACAACACTTGAAGAACTTGGAGAGTTCTGTTTTTCCTGTGGTGGTGTAATCATCTAGACTTTGTCTTCAAGATGTTCACAACGAGAGGCCAGGCCATAGATCACCAGACTGAAAAGCAAGCAGAAGGTGGTGCAGATTGCATATTCCACCTTCAAGAACCTTCAGGCGCAAGAGTGTCTGTCCAACTAATCCAAACATGAAAGTGGGTCAAACTGACTTCTTGAAACTTCCATAGCAACCAGGAAACCTCCATGACTTTATGTATGACTGGCAAGGTTACAGGCGCTGGGTTGCTGCTCAATCAAAATCCAACGATGATCCCCACCCGTTTTGAGAATGTAGTCTTGTTCAACCCGTAATGATCGTAATGCTGACAGTGTAAGGGCCTAGTCAGCACAATTGCCAAGCAAGCTGAGGACATCTGACAAAAACACTCATAGCTGGCGATAAGTGGATTGAAGACATGGAATGGAATGGACTCTCCTTTCCACGAACTGAGGAAGAAAGAGTTCTGAGGGGACAAAATCAATAAAGGAAATGCTAGGGAAGAATCGCCCCGGCAGAAACAATTTGGGATGGGATGAGGAGTCAAGGAAGCTGTTGGGCCAATAAGCCAAGGATGTGGGGTATGTGGTGGAGCCATGCAAATTTCAACGGTCACGAGCCAAAAGTCTCTATTTGACAATGCATGACCGCTTTGGTAAATATTGCTCCTGAACCTAGAGTGATGAAAATGAGCGCTGCAGCAAGAGAAATGGTGGAGCAGTGATTCAGAACAGTTCTGCAAGGCCGCAGTTCTGAAATGCCTGTTGAAGATTGAAGAGAGGTGGAGACTGGAATCAGGACTTAGAAAGACTTAACTTCAGTTGACCATTGCTTGGGGAAGGGGAAAATTGACTTTGGAAATATACTAGGAAACTACAAAGGCTTGCACCAGGGAGAGAACACTGGCTCAGCGACACTATAGTTTGGGACACAGAGAAAAAATGAATTATATGACTTGTGAATACGTATTTTCAATTTTTGTTTAAAATCATCTTGGGAGACTGAAATACTAGAAAGGTTACTCTGGGGAAAGAACACTGCCACAGTGACACTATAGTTTGGGACCAACATTGAAAAACAAGTAACTTTTGATTTGTTCAAAGTCTGTTATTGACTTTTTTTGATACATTAGGAAATTAGAAAGGTCTTCTTCGGAGACTGTGACAGCACACAGGTTTACACCAGGGAGGGGACACTGGCTCAGTGACATTATTGTTTGGTACACTATTGAATTCACTGTTCTTTAGTACCCAATCTTCTTGGCGTCTGTCGGCCGCTGTTCCCTTTTACACTCCCCGCGCGGCTCAAGCTTTTCTCTGCGTCGAAGTGGCGGTCCGTGCTGCAAACGACGACGATCGGAGAATGCCACAACTGAGGGTAAATCATGGACGGCAGGTTGATGGTGCGACGATATGTGTCTTCCTTCCCTGCTTTGGATGTAGTGACAATAGTCACAGACGTAAGCTCGTCGCCCATGTGCCATCACCATTCATCCAATCGCAGTAATCCGGATATCTCCCATGAAACTGGCTCACCATTCTGTCTTGAAAGAAGTCCGACAGTGGCCTTAGGTAGGAGACCACACGGAGCTGCGTTCCGGTCAGCGGAATTTCCCCACTGTGGGCGATGGCATCAAACTGGCAATTCCCGCGGGGCGCGACAGGCCCGACGCAAACACATGGCTGCCAAACTCTTGTCCAACAATGCGTTCTCAGCCCGGATCTCTGCTTGCAAACCATCATTGTCAACAAGATTTGCAGCAAAAGCTAGATCCATGAGATCCAAGGCCCACCGCTGGGAGAGAACTATGTGATGGTGGTGAGAACAGAAGCTTCCATTCTTTCTGGGACGCTCGCATCTCTGACCCTTATTGGTAGCTGACACGCACATGGCCTCACTCTCTCCTCTCCACAGCAATGCACAATTGGTCGGCGGCCGACTGAAGAGGCTTTTGGTCTCTGGTCAAGGCTAGGACCAGGAGAAGGGGCACGCAACATATTCTTCACAGCTTCTTTGCTTCTTTCAGAAGAGCTGGTCACAGTACTGTGGCACAACCCCTTGTCTGACAGCCACCCTTTTGCCGCCTCGCAAGGATTTGCCCGGAGTCAGCCGAACACTTTCAAGAAGTTCCCATGCTTTCCTCTTTCACCCTCTCTTCTGCTGTTGCCTTGCAGGCACCACTGCATCCGCCATAGCACAGGTCCGCGAGCCTGCTGAGCCCGCCGTAGCCATTTTTGCAGTAAGCTCCAATCAATGAGTGCACAATTCTTTCACAAAGGAAGACCCTTGAAACTAACTTTGGAGTCAATTCCTGAAGCAACCATGCCAGAAATGAAAAGGATCCATAAGGATCCATGAAAAGAATTAACTCTGGAGTTAATTCCTCAAGCGACCATGCCGGAAATGAAAAAAATTGACTCCGGAGTTGATTGCTCGAACGACCATGTGATCATACCAGAACTGAAAAGAATTGAAAGTTTTCAAAGTACTCCTTTTCTTGAAGAGAACTGGCTTGCTTCTTGAACATGTTTGCGTCTCTTCAAAGACAATGCTTAGCTCTTGGACTTTACTCCCCGAACAATAACTGTTCCTTCTACAAAAGACGGCTTTCGTATTCCAGAAGATCCACTGCACATGAAAGTCAGCTGTGTAAACAGTGTAAACTGCAGTTGCCTCCAGTCAAAGTGCACAGTTGTGAAGGCCAAGGTGCTGGTTGGCGCCGCTCATGATCTTCCCATAGATCTCAGGGACCAATTTCCTGGTCCAAGCGGTGGTTCTTGTGGACACTGAGAGGATGCTTCCGCTAGAAACACGACTTGACTTGAAAAGCACCTTTCCTCCAGCTTGCAACCATTCCTCTGACAAAGCTGCTACGTCAATCTTTAGGTCAAGCCCTTCCGGGCTCTAGAAACCTTGGAACCGATCTTTCTTCGTGCACTGCCGTACCGAGGAACTCGGGGTCTTCGGAGTTCAAGCTCTGCCCCAAGCCACCGGCAGGTCCCAACTTGATCTTCCTCGGGCGAAAGAATGCTACGGTCCAAGCGGTCACAAAGCGGTGCACCTGTCTCAGCTGTGGCTCTGGATGACTGTGAACTGAAAGAGGGCGACCACGAGGCCCAAGAAACTGGAGACAAGAATGATCTTGTCGACCAAGAGCAGCTCCTGGGAGCAAGGTGATTGACGCACCATGCCCTGTATTCAGCGCGACCAATGTTGCGCTTTATACATACGTGTTGTCAAGCAAACACTCAGCACTGCTCATCTACTTGCAAAAATCAAGAGCTATGAACGAAAAGAATCAACATATACAGACCTTTTCACTCCACCTCCCCCACATATGAGGGTGTGCTTGCTGGCAGAACGACAAAAGAAACTGCGTGAACCAATTGCTTCATAGGGCCGGGACAGTTTTGGAAGTGGTTCCTATGTACTGGCTATGTGTGCAACAACTTAAAGCGGTTGCTGCTCGCAAAACTCTCAAGATTCAACCCAAATGTGTTTGTTGTTGCAAGATCTCTGGGAAAAAAAGCAAACATCAAAAGGTAGATCTTTCAAGGGAGTTAGCATAAACAAATACACAAAAACTAACACCCAAACTACTTGTAGGAACTATATAGCTTAAGCCCAGCGTCCATGACGTCAGGGCCCGCAGGCGTCGCAGAGGTGGATCGAAGCTAAAGGAACTCTGCCCAAAAACAGCTGAAGCCGAAGAGCCAAAATGAAAGCCAAAATCAAAGATGCAAAATGCAAACGTGCAGAAGTCCTGCAACTCAAAAACATGTTGCAAACAAACATACAAAAAAAGTTGGTCATTGCAAACTTGCCCAGGCACTTCCAGTTCATCTCGTTGTGACAGAAGCACTTTGGTCAATGAGCCTGGGTGAGCATGCTTTAAAGTTCTCACATCCACCACAGTTCCCACATCACGTGTTCCTTCACAAAACAATCAGCTGTTCAATTGTTTCATGTCCCACATCACACCAAATCCGTTCGATCAAAACGAAGTGAAGGTGAAAAACTCAAAGGTTTAATCTCCCAAACCTGAAATCCCAAGAGATCTTTTCCACTCTGAAAAACATGAACTTTACCATCTCCCGGCAAACCTTTAACAATCTAACACACTGCACTTCAATCATGGGGACTTGGATTGGTTTCATCTTATGATCTTCATGATTTAAACGAGGAGCGACAGAAGATATTGGCACCCGTGTCCGAGCCTTGGGTCTCGTCCTTGGCAAAATGTTGTTAGGGAGTGCCCCCAAGGTGTTGTTGAGTGGCTCCGTTTCAAAAAGAGAAATCCTGCCGACGAAGCCGCTTCCCAGCTGCACGAGAATATTTCTAGAACTGGAAATCTCAGTGATGCGACAAAGAGTCTGAGTTTGCACAGTCGATAGCCATATCAAGCCTTGCTCGATGACAGAACACTTCAGTGTTCAACACGGCAAACCAAAGATTTGGTGAGGCGTTCTTGTGACCCATCTGCCAAAATTCAATGAAAGTGTCTGTTCTGCATGGGACATGGAAGCACACCAATTGATTCAACCAGATTGTAAAACGAGGCAGAAAACTTCAATCATGCTGCTGAAATGTTAATCCCACTGTGGTGCCACTGTGGTAGGTACTAATCAGTCACAAAATCCAATTCAATGATTCTTGATATGTTAACTAATGTCCCACAACATGTCCTGAGCTTGGCAGTCCTTCTGCTTTTGTTTCGTTCCCCGCTGATGGATATTTGTCCTTCTCAAACAAATGTTGATAATCAAACGAACATGAAAGGAAAGGAGTACAAAATATTATGAGCAAAAATGTTGTAGTATTGCCTTAGAGGAAAAATCTGCATCGACCTTGTCACACCACGACCCAACACATCAACACACTAACATGTAGTGACAAATATCAACACTCCATGAAAGCTAAGCAGCATTTTTGCAAAGCTGCTCAGGTGGTGTTCAGCCACATGCAACGGGAAATTTGATTGGAACCCAATACATTGAAACGAACTTGGGGTGAACATGAACACTCCGCTTTGTCGGTGTTGAAACTCATTTTGCCAGCCCAGGCTGTTTGGTTTGCAGGTCGTCAACAAAGTCAGTTTGCAATTGATTTATATAGATGTGATGAACCACATGGTCGATTGGCGATAACCCAGGCAGTGTCCGGACGAACCTCAGCTTTGTGCTGAGTTGTCTAGAGCCGCAGGTTGCCCAAACGCAATCGTATTCATCCCAAAAACCATTCCACATCAAGGAACCATTGCCCCTTTGTTTATCAACAAAACGTTGCACCACAGAACAACGCCTTCAGGCCTTCCCTAACACATGTTGGCTGAAAAAATTAACCTTGGTTCCGTCAAACTAAATGTTTGGAAACACTGAACTACGTACTCAAAATGATTGGCACCAAATATTAACCAGAAACTTTTCCATGACTCAGCATGTGCGCGGCATGCTGTAGCCAAATGCGCCCAATTGGCCTCCACTAAACTAAACCACGTTCATTGGGACAGTGTATGAATATAAAAGTGACCCGCGAGGATGTAATGTCAACATCCTTTAGGTTGATCTAACCCACCTGTGCTCGTGATTGTTCACACAACTCGCAAGTGCAGTTTGATGACTCACAGTTTCATCACATACAGCAAATCAGTTGGTGTGCACCATCATTGTCATTCATTGGATTTTCATTACTTCCATCAACACCGGTCCGGTGTTCACGCAATCAGCACGACGACGCCCACTGCATGTTGGCCTTGTTCTTGGAGGCAGTCCACTCTTGCATGGTCACCTTTTCGTCCAAGCTGTTGCACTTCTTCAACCAAACACCACATGATGGCCATCAACCATGTTTTGGAGATGAGGTATTTGCTCGTGTTTTCGCCAAGCTAGACAAGACTTCAACGCAGAGCTCACATGTTGGCCTCAACGCTCGATTGAATCCAAAGCATGCCAGCATCAATGTTTTTGCAGCAAACACTAGCAACCAATCTCGTGCGTGACACTTCAAAACCGATTTTGAAGGACATCTGGGTCACTTTTCCAATGCTTGTGCGATCCGTTTCACTTGACATTCTTGTGGGACACTCTGAAAACACGCTTGTGCTGCAGACATGCAGGACACTCGTGCGTGAAGCTCTTGCTGGAGCAGGCCGGCTTCGTGCCCAATCTTGGCCTATGGCGACAAGCACACTTGACTCATCTCCACGAGCCCAACTTTGATGAATGAGGCTTTGTCTCCTGCTCTTGAGGTCAGGAAACAGCCAAAGAATTGATTTGTTTCCCAAAGCAGTGTGGACACACTTAGGGGCTCTTACGGTCATAGTTAAGCAGGTGTTTTAGACCGCTATGTCGCGCGGGCGTGTCCGGCCAATTCGTTGCTATTTACAGTACATTCATGCCTCTCGAAATACTCGAAGTGCATTTCGACTGCGCAGACTCGCAAAATCTGGGTGGCGGCGGCGGGTGCTTTTCGCAACTGTGCTCTCGTTGTGGCGCCGCGTGCATTTTCGCACATGGCGGTCACTTTTCGTGGCAGGCGCAAGGGAATCCTCGTGTTTTGGTGGTCCAAAGTTGACTAGAGCGGTTTTGCTTCGAAGTGCAGATTTCGCAGCAGGTGCTGTACTTTGGACATGGTGGTGATCGTCGAAGCGCTCTGATTTCTTGACAGATGCTGTGAATGGTAGCTTTGGGACATGCGGCTCATTGTAGACTTCGTGGCAGGCACGGCACTTTGGAACCTCGAAGTGCAGACTTCGTGGCAGGCACAGCACTTTCTGAACCTCGAAGTGCAGATTTCGTGGCAGGCGAAGCACTTTGTGAACCTCGAAGTGCCGATTTCGTAGCACAGCACTTTGTGAACCTCAAAGTGCAGATTTCGCAGCACTTTGTGCTCTCAAATGCTCACCTCTCGCTCTCAGACACGCACACTCACACTCACACTCACTCACTCACTTACTCGAATCACTCTCACTCACACTCACACACACACTCACTCACACTCAATCACTCACTCTCACTCTCACTCACTTGCTCAGGCATGGTTGCACCTATGTCGAAAGACTTGTGTTCAAAGTGGCTGTCCTCATTGAGGAAGAAGAAGGCTTGACGTCAGCCTGTTGTTCCGAGCGAAATGTCAAAGAGGGGGTGAAGAAATCCGCTTGTCGGATGGCCACCTCGCTCGTGCTTGTTGCTTTGTTTGGTTTTTGTTGTTTGGTGTTGTTTGGTTTGTGTTCTGAAAGGGAGAGAACCTGACCATAACACTGTACAGTTTGTTCCTTGAAGCCTTGAAAGAGTTTGTAGCGTTTTCGGGTGTTTCAGAGCTTTTTGTAGAGTTGCTTGTGTTTAGGATGCATATGTACAGTCCTTGAACGACTGTTATTTGTGGCTCAAGTGAGTGTAAAAGGGAGTGCACTGCGTTAGCTTTATATAGTTGTTGTTGACTTGAAGAGTTTCAAGAGTGAGAGCGGACTCATCTAGAGAGCCTGCTGTGAGCTTAAAGATCCAGGCGAAGTATAGTTTACCCTAAAATCTGCTACCCACGTTTTTCGTGTTTCGTTTGGTCCAGCAACTTCTTCAAGCAGTTTACCTTCAGGTCGCGGTCCACAACCAATCAGAGTTTTGTCATCATACGAAAGACGCCTGGAACACTGGAGACAGCAACAGTTCTTTGTACAACAGCAAGGATTTGATCCTACTGTGCAGCAGCAAGATCCATGGAGACTTTACCACAGTGGTTCTGACAGTCGTAGCCAGTTGGGACACGACCTTTTTGGAAACCTGCCCGTTGTTGTTTGTGTTCTTCATGGAGGAAGTTCTTCTGATAGCTACCAGACAGCTTCACCTAGTGGAAGGAGTGGTGTGAGTTTCAGTCAACCTGGAGCTTTGGCGATGACTACGCCGACAGGTGACCAGAGCGCTTGGGGAGGAGGAATTTCTGTGAATCAAGTTCAGGGTTCTTCTCAAAGGAGTGTCGCCACCTGTTGAGACTTGGGAGAATGGAGGTTCAAGGTTGTCCTCCACCATGTCTGGCAAAGTTTTATCCTCATAGTCTACCACCTGGAGTTGATCCCTGTAGCTGGAATTTTACAGCAACAGTTGGTGATGAGCAGAGCTATTCCCAAGGTCCACAAGGGCGACCTCACCAGCGACAGGGAGGAGAAAGGCTGACTATGGATAGTCGATTCCGTCCATGCCTTTTCGAAAATTTACAGTAAAGGTTGGACTTCAAGAGCTAAAGAGTTATCTGGTTTTCGTGATCGGATGGAACGATTTGCCTCATGGCTTTGTTTGGAGATCGATTTACGGCTTCCTTCGCTTCCTACCAGCTGCTTGAACTAATGAGCGCACGAAAACGTCTACTTTGTCAGAAGAAGCTGTTGTTGTCAGCCGTCGTTTATTTGCTATTTTTCTAAAAGAGTGAAAGGCTATGATAGGCGCGGAAATTGCCAGTAGCAAGGGGCGTAGTATCGCTGTATGGCCTTACCTTCCTCTTGTTTGAGCAGAACGTGCAGAGGTTACCTAGTAACGAGGTTGCTCTCCCAGCCCCTACTCAATTAAGTAGGCGGCCACTGAATTAAGGGTGAGGGCAAGGGGTCAAAAACAAGAGTAGAGTTTCCTTGAGTTTCCTTCTATTTTCCAGTTGCCCTTGGAGGCCATCCCAATTAGACTATTCTGGTGGAGGCATCCCTATAAGGTTGAAGGCCATCCCTGTCCCTATTAGAGTGGAGGCTATCGCCAGTAGGTTGGAGGCCATCCCTGTTGGAATGGAGGCCATCCGTATTAGGGTGGAGTCCATCGCTATCAGGGTGGAGGCCATCCCTATTGGGTTGGAGGCCATCCCTATTAGGTTTGAGGCCATCGCTATTAGGGTGGAGGCCATCGCTATTAGGTTGAAGGCCATCGCTATTAGGTTGGAGGCCATTGCTATTGGGGTGGAGGCCATCGCTATTGGGTTGGAGGCCATCACTATTAGGGTGGAGGCCATCCCTATTAGATTGGAGGTCATCCGTATTAGGCTGGAGGCGATCGCTATTAGGGTGGAGGCCATCCTTATTAAGTAGGAGGCCATCCCTATTGGGTTGGAGGCCATCCCTACTAGGTTGGAGGCCATCACTATTAGGTTAGAGGCCATCGCTATCAGGTTGGAGGCCACCGCTATTGGGTTAGAGGCCATCACTATTAGGGGTGGAGTCCATTGCTATCAGGGTGGAGGCCATCCCTTCTAGGTTGAGGGTGGAGGCCATCGCTATTAGGTTGGCCATTGCTATGGTGCATGATATGCTTGCAAGAGCTTCGAGAAGCACATCAGATGGAACGTGAAGTAGTGACAAACAATCCTGACCAACAACTGAGGAGTCGTCGTTTTTTCCCGAGTGCGTAGCGAAGGGTTCCCGTTTATAGTTGGGGGTCTGGGGGTTGGAGCTGTGTTTGCATGGTTTGCGTCGTCTCGTCGTCCCTCGTCGTCTGTCGTCGTCTCTGGTCGTCTCTCGTCGTTTGTCGTCGTTTGTCGTCGTCGTCGCGTCTCAAATTTGCTGCCATTGGGGGAAGCTTTTGCAAGTGACTTTTCATGGATGTGTCGCGTGTCAGGTTGCGCCGCTATTCCATTGTGATTTGTATGACAACGACATGTCGCGCAAGAAACGTGATGCATTTCGCTGCACAGGCGCAGCGTTTTGTGAGATCCGCAGATTGCTGCGCAGTTCTATTGGGATTACCGGTTGGAGGGTCGTGTTTTTGGGGTGTTGGATGTGGCTGTGCCATTGAGATTTGCGTTTCAAGGTGTGGCATCGAAGCTCGGTTTTCGTGACAAGTTTCAGCTGAAGTGGCGATTTTGGTGGATGGGAGTGTGCTCAGAACGGGTCGAAATCATTCCAAACGTGTGGTGTGGTGCAAATTTTGTTGAGCCTCACATGAGATGATAATGTCACTTTTCGTGGCAGGCGCAGGACTTTGTGCGGGTTTTGAGGCGTGGAAGTGCGATTCTCGTGGCAGGCGCAGGGAATCGTGAGGTTGCGAGGTGTGACGGAGGTGACATTTCGTGGCAGGCGCAGGACTAGGTGCGCGTTGGACGCGTGGACGCGGAAAGATTCGTGGCAGGTGCAGGGAATCGTGAGTCACCGTGAGGTTGTGAGTTGTGGTAGAGGTGAATGTCGCTGTCACATTGGGATTCGCGTGTGAGCGGATGTTGTTTGGAGGAGCTGGAATCGCGAAACTGCTTGGCAGGGCTGCGTGATGTGTGTGCTCCGATGGGTGTTTCCGCTTGACTTTTGGAGGATGTCTCGTACGAAACGCTCGTTTTGCAGACTTCGACGTGTGAGTTTTTGAGGAAGTCTCGAACGAAACGCTCGTTTGTGGGACACTCTTGTAGGAAACTCTTGTGGGGCACTCTTGTAGGACACTCTTGTGGGACACTCTAAAAGGACACTCTTGTGGGACACTCTTAAGGGACACTCTTGTGAGACACTCTTGTGGGACACTGTTGCGGGACACTCTTGTGGGACACTCTTGTGGGACACTCATACGGGACACTCTTGTAGGACACTCTTGTGGGACACTCTTACGGGACACTCTTGCGGCACAGTCTTGTGGGACACTCAAACTCTTGTGGGATACTCTTGTAGCAGACTCTTGTGGGACACTCTTACGGGACACTGTTGTGGGGCACTCTTGTGGGAAACGTCCCACACTCTTACGGGGGGGGCACTCTTGTGGGACACTCTTGTGGGACACTCTTGTGGCACACTCTTGTGGGACACTGTTGCGGGACACTCTTGTGGGACACTCTTAAGGCTTAAGGGACACTCTTGTGACACACTCTGGCAGGACACTCTTGTGGGGCGCTCCTGTGGGACACTCATTTGAGACACTCTTGTGCAACACTCTTGTGGGACACTCTTGTGGGACACTCTTGTAGGAAACTCTTGTGGGATACTCTTGTAGGACACTCTTGGGACACTCGTGTAGGACACTCTTGTGGGACACTCTTGTAGGAAACTCTTGTGGGGCACTCTTGTGGGACACTCTTACAGGACACTCTTGTGGGACACTCTTAACTCTTGCGAGACACTCTTGCGGGACACTCTTGTGAGACAGTCTTGCGGGACACTCTTGCAGGACA